CCTATAAAAATTACATTTTAGTCGATGTGGGGTGCGCGATAGACTTACCTCCATGTGGTGCATCCTGGGCAACGTATGCTCATACGGCAAAAAAGTCTATTAATCGGCAGTTGACTTCTCACTTCAAACTACCATGACAACACTGTATGTCATATTCGACTACTTCAACAGTACTCACCTCACCTTTTTTCTACCTTTGTGTCTGTCTGTCTCTTTTACATCCGTGAATCACTCTTCTGTTCCCCCTCTCGAATTTGTCACATTTTGATGTTCCTCCCCTCTGTGAATCCCGAAGTCAGCTAAAGGCTAATGATAACTATCAAAACGCCTGCCATTTGCAATAAATAAATATATTTTAGTCGATGTAGTGAATTGGCATCCATTTCTCGCTTGCCCATTCACTATGACTTCAAAACTCATGTGTACAGTTGTTTCCTTTGACTTCACCATCGTAAGTAACCATCGTGCGCTATGTAAAAAGATTATCTATATTTTGCAAGCTCAATTATCTCGACTGGCATTCCATACTCCTCAGCAATGCGCAGGTCGTCAACACTACACGAGCTTAAAATACATTTATTCAAACATTCTCGAAAGTGCAATTATTTGGATTTATATTCCAAAAAAAGTCCATTAACCGGCAGTTTGACTTCTGACTTCAAACTACCATCACCCCACTGTATGCCATATTCTACCACTTCCACAGTACTCATCCTACCTTTTCTCTGCCTTTGTGTCTGTCTCTTTTACATCTTTAAAACACTCTTCTTTTTCCCCCACCTCTCGATCTCTTCTCACTTTGATGTTCCTCCTCCCCTCTGTGAAGCCCCAAGTCAGCTAAAGGGCTAATCATCACTATCAAAACGTCTGCCATTTGAAATAAATAAATGAAGATTTGAAAGCTTAGACAACTTACGGGTCCGATGCCCTTACCGCCATCGTCAAGACCAGCACAAAATTCAATGGACTCGGTAAGGTTGATGGGTGAAGCGAAGATCTTTTGACAATCCACATGCGATACGACGGGGAGATCGACAGCTTTCAAGTTCTTTTCTGGCATGCAACCAACGCAGGCACTCCCCCAGCCAACAGCAGTGCAAGTCTACTTGGGAAATGGAATATTGAAGTTAGAACAAAAATACCACGGTTATTTTATCTAATTGCATTTAAATAAGCGGAGAGGTCACCGTTTTTTCTGGAGGGTAGTAATAACCCACGATAGCAGGGAATGGAAGTCTCAAAATATCGAGGTGCCTCAGATGATGAAGTTGAATACGCTCCTTCAATTTCATAAGGGCAATGTCGTATTCCAATTTTGCTAAAAAATAGAATTCATATCTATATTATGTAAATTAAAATGGGGTGTGCGATAGACTTATCTCCACGTGGTTCATCCTGGGCAACGTATACTCATACGGTAAAAAAGTATACTAACTGCCAGTTGACCTCTGACTTCAAACTACCATCACCCCACTGTATGTCATATTTGGGCAACAGACCCATACGGCTACCTCCACGTGGTGCACCCTGGGCAACGTGTACTTACAACCTCCATGTGGTGCACCCTGGGCAACGTATACTTATGCGGAAAAAAGTCTATTGACTGGTAGTTGACTTCTCACTTCAAACTACCATCACCCCACTGTATAGTTGACCACTGACTTCAAACTACCATGACCCCACTGTATGCCTTGACTTCTGACTTCAAACTACCATGACCCCACTGTATGTTACAAAGTATACTCATACGGCAAAAAGTCTATAAACCGGCAGTGGACTTCTGACTTCAAACTACCCTCACCCCACTATATGTCACAACTTCTCACTTCAAACTACCATCACCCCACTGTATGTCATTGTGTATGCGCATACGGCAAAAAAGTCTATAAACCGGCAGTTGATCTAACCCTAACACGGCAAAAAGTCTATAAACCGGCAGTTGACCTCTGACTTCAAACTACCATGACCCCACTGTATGTCATATTTGGGCAACAGACCCATACGGCAAAAAATCTATTAACCGGCAGTTGACTTCAAACTACCATCACCCCACTGTATGTCATATTCGTCTACTTCCACTTCAAACTACCATCACCCCACTGTATGTCATATTCGAAACTTCAAACTACCATCACCCCACTGTATGTCATATTCGACATCCTTCAAACTACCATCACCCCACTGTATGTCATATTCGACCTCTCAAACTACCATCACCTCACTCTATGCCATATTCGAATATAATATGTCAAAAAGTATACTAACTGCCAGTTGACCTCTGACTTCAAACTACCATCACCCCACTGTATGTCATATTCCACCACTTCCAGAGTACTCACCTCACCTTTTTCTCTACCCTTATGTCTGTCTGTCTCTTTTACATCTGTGAATCACTCTACTGTTCCACCTCTCACTCTCCCGACTATCTTGGTGACATTGATGTCCCTCTCCCTCCCCCCCCTTCTATAAAGCCTGCCATTTGATATAAATAAATTTAAGTGAAAATGTTCACCTAATTATATCTAAACTTTGGCAAGTTAAATTATTTTTTTGGAATAATTGGGCAACTTGCTAATAGACAATCTGCAGCGTCAATTTCTCAGCTTATCTCTGATTTAGAAATAAAGTAAAAAAGGCTTACGTTCTTTGTATTTAGGGTGGAGTATGATTTTCTCGACATGGTAGTAGGTTTGAAGTTTCCTCTGTCCGTAGATGTAGTTGAAAAGACGAGTCAATGCTCCCTTGAGACGATCCATTAGTGTGGGCTTTATTATTATTATAAGGGAGAAAAATGCCTTAATTACCATTTTTAAAACAAAACAAAGATACAGACAACTTTTTAAGGTCATACAAGGTAGACGATTGGATACATGTTCGCAAGGCCCATATTTTATGCGAATCAGTCGGTTTAATTTGAAATACAATTAAAGAATTCGAGAAATTTTGAGTCTTTTCAAAATTGCTTAAATCAACTGAATTTTGTAGAAAATAGCAGATGACTTAAATCCCTCAAAAAGAGAGTGGCTAATATCTTGAGATTTAGAAAATTTGATTCTCTGAATGGTATTGATAACTTCGTCCATAAATTTCCAGTTGGTGAGAATTTGCTTGTCTGCGGTTAGTTAATTATGTGGGCACTATTATTTATTGTTTAACGGTTCACTATGTCAATAAAAATTTAACCCAAGGTAATTTGAAATTTAGTAAAACAATCATTACCTGAAGTTCCTTTGTTCCCATCCTGACGTGCCATATTTTTGGATCAACGAGCCTGAAGCAAAAAGAGTCGCGCTAATAATTTTTTACAGTTTCAAATAAATTACTGTTTCACCTAAAGCACATGTAAGAACTCATTTCTTATCGATTATGAAAGGGATATTTAAGCTATCTTCTTATGCCGATTTCAAGATTTGTACAATTCACCATCTAACGTTTGCAAAATTTTTGTTTGGTTGCAAAACTAGCTAACGTGACAGAACCCGGATATGCATTCCAACTCTTTCTCATTGTGTTTGTAAGCGTTCTAATTGACGTGTGTTGTCTTTTATCGTTTTAAATAAAGATAAAAGTATTAAAAGTAAAAATTTACAAGATCAGTCAATGAGATATGATATAATAATTAAAAATCAGTAATAATTGGATTATTATTGCTCAGTAAGAAATAGCTTTACACTTAATCGACGTCCTGTATCTCGGTGACGTAGGTTAATTTACACTTGAAAAAATATATTAACACCTACAAAGGAGCTCGATCTATGATTAAATCGGCCAATAAAATTTAATGACATTTGAAGCCACACTTTCTACATGCGCTACCGTTATTCCCCATAAATCTTTAAAGCAGCAAAAAAATAACAGATAAATTACGGGACTCTGGTGTTGTTCTTGTCATAAGCATAGATGCAGTGAGCAGCAGTAACAATCCATTGTGAGTCGATGAGGGTACCACCACAGAAGTGTTGTACTCCTCCTGTGAGGGTGGCGAATATATCCTTTTTCAATTTGGCTTGAATGGAAACCATGTAGGGAAATTCACTCTGCTCAACATAATCTCCACCAATTATACGACGGAATCTCCCCAGAGGCGCGTCTGTCTCATCTAATTTTTAGATAAAGGAAAAAAGAAGAAGAAGAAGAGGAAGAAGCGTATACCTTGCAATATGATTCGTATTAATTAGATAATGAATGCCACCATAAAAGCCCAAACTGTCTTTAAATTTAAGCGTTGGTTTAAAATCTGTGAAGATCTTCGAACTTCATCCAAGCTATAGAAGAACGTGAAGACAGTAATGACTGGAAAATGCATGTTTCTCCGATAGAACCATCTCATCTCAATGCAATTAGAAAGCTCAGATCACACAAAAAATACGCATAGAAATCGTAAAAGATAATAGAGTGGAGTTAAATAAATGGAGTATTAAATGAATATCTGGAATATATCTGCTTTAGACATTACAATTACAGAATTAAATCTAACAGAAATGAATCGGGCACCCCAATTACGATCGACTAGGCTGATTCTCCATCCTCACAAAACCCTAAAATTTCTTATTAATGTACAAATAAGTCGAGCTCAATTGACAATGATATTAAAACATAATTGGTGAAAAAATTTCCCATTTCTAACCATTTCTAAAGCCACACCGACAAATTCGGTGTTTGTTTATGTCGTCGGGTAGGGCCCGTGTGAACTTGGAGGCGTTCACATTAACCCCAAGTCTGTAGACGTCATCTGCAAATCACCGTTCACGCGAAAAGTCATAAGTAGCTGAATCAGCCAAAGTTGCCTATCAGCCTGGGATGGATTGGTTATCCGACCTTCAGCCAAAATTAAATCAATAACATTTCCTGAAAGCAAATTATTTTGCCACCAAGAGCATTTATTTTTAAGAACACCAATAATAATAACATTTATTAAAAAAGGATAAGTGGGTTAATTCATGATGTTAATGAGTTGTTAGTACTAATATTGACACTATTTCAGGTTAAAACTGACGGTGCTGTGGAATAAACATTCACAAATTACCTCTATTTATGTGCGAATGCAGAGGTACCGTTTCACAGCTTGGATGTTTACTTAAGGATTGAGAGAGATGCCTGAAGAAATTTTAAATGTTCGAAAACAAAGTTAATTTCATGTTAAAATTTTTTCACAGGAATATTCAAGTAAAGCATCTAGAATTCTAGCCATAAGATCATCAAACGCGCACTGTCATTTCTGGGTTTGTCTATACATATTTCAAAAGCAGGCACATAGGCCGGCCTTTTGCATTATCCAGTGAAGCAAAAGAAGACACGTACCTGTTGTCTTTGTTGGAGAGTCAGCTCGACTGACCCAAGCTGCTAATACAAGAACCCAGAAGATAGGATTACACATCTTCGGTTGTGAATGCCTATCCACTGCCAGAAGGCTAGTTTTATAGGCTGTTCGAGTACAACGATCAACCAATCAGAATGTGGGCAGCGCGTTAACGGACGCACCATCTACGCACTTGATCTGCGCATGTACTCGTTGTACTGTTACTTTATGGGAAATAGAAATCGATTTTATTACATCGAACAATCGGAAATGAAGCTATTGAACAAAAATTTCGAGAATATATGACTAATTATGTTCTTTTATGAATTCAATCACTCAGAGATTATTTTACAATGGAGTGGAATCTATTTTCCAATACCAAAACTCATTAGATCTATGGAATTAATTTTTTTTGAAGCTTAAAATTATTCGAATTAATAAATATTTTAGTTATCATACTCAACAAATTTCCTCAATGTAAACCCAATTTCATATCAACCCTGAAGCTCAAACAACTAACATGATCCCCCATGGAAATAAATGGATAAACAGAATGACGAAATAGTAATGCTGTAGTTAAGCAAGATTTTCAAAGAAAACTTGTGATTTTCCTTAATTTTGAGTATATATAAATCTTCCACAAAATATCAGCTCAACATTTTCGAGAAATAAACAAATTTAGCGGATGCCTAATTAATACAAATGCCGACTCCTCCTTAAATAAGTCTACTAAAAAATTTTTGTGCGAAAAGATCACCCCACCTCTTTCCAAAATTTCAAAAATTTTTCTTGGAGCATCTATAAAATAAAAGGGAGTTGAAAGTTCAGCCATCGGTAAACTTAGAATTTACACTTATAAAGAAGTATTCACGGAGGACAAAACACTGCGATTAAAATATGCGTAGTGGAATTCAAGGCGAGAAAAAGTCGACTCTTCAGCCTTGGTGGGTAAGCAATAGAGAAGTCAACTTCAAATCTCTTTTTACTCTTCGTGTTTTTGTAATCCGATTTATAACTTTTAGTAGCGACTAGATAACATTTGGCAAGATTGGTTTGATAACCAGTGAGCAGTACCTACCTATAAAAATATTTTAGTAGTGAGGTTCAACTTTGATTTCACAGAAGAGACCAACGTTTTTGAGTATGGAAAAAATAAGCTATATTTTAATTTAAAAGATTCCAAAATATTTATTTATTTCCACAAAAGAAAAACAAAAAACAGTATTACTTAATTCGTTCACTATAAGAAAGAATGAATAAGAGCTCAGCATATGTGGACTCAGTGAATTCCTATTTATTTAAACACAACATGCTAGTATCTTTCCTAACTTTGAAAAAAAGTTGAATTTAAATAGTACGAAAACCCATTCAGTAAAGTAGCAATATGCTCTTGTCACTGTGCATACGACTTCAACTGGTAACTTTGCAATCAGTACCTTGAAGTATTAGCAGGCGAAGCAGTGAAGGATAACCAAGAGTGAAAAGTGTGGAATTTGATCGCCAAATCAAATAAAGTGAGATTTGCTCATCATCCTTGACACGTCAAACATTGCACACCTTGAAAACTTTACGAATTCGTAAGTAAAATTTGAAGTAATATCAAAGGTAAAAAAAGACTGCTGATTGAAGTCCACTTCCAACACCCCTTAATATTTATTTACTTATTTCAAATGACTGGCGTTTTGTAGTTAACATTAGTCCTTTAGCTGACTTCGGGCTTCACAGAGAGGAGGAGGAACATCAAAGAGGCAAAAAGTCGAGAATGGAGACAGAATAGTGATTCAAGGATGCAAAAGAGACAGACAGACAGACAGACAGACAGACACGAAGGCAGAAAAAGGTAAGATGAGTACTGGGAAAGGGATCGAATATGACATACAGTGGGGTCATAGTAGTTAGATGTCAGAAGTCAACTGTCGGTTTACAGACAATTTTGTCGTATGAGAATACGTTACCTAGAATGCACCACGTGGAGGTAAATCTGTCGCACACTCCACACTCCTTGATATAGTTTCTAATTTGACCACCTGACAAAGTCACACCTGACCAGACTCAGGAAAAGAGGACATTCGACTCAAACAGCAAATTGTCTGTTATATTAGTTACTTAAGTGTTCGAGAACAAGAATATTGCCTTCCTGGTTGGCCAATAATTGTAACGCCGTCACCTCCACAGTTAATTTCACAGATCAAGACGTGAGCGCGGAACTCCACTAATGAAGCACTCAGTGCACGCGTGATGACTATTGAGAAACTACAATGAAAATATAATAATTAAGTTTCCCAACAATGTTAGAACTCAACTACTCATTATGAAAAATTTTAAGTACATGAGCTAGACTTGAATGAACGTTTTTGTTTCTGCACAAATGATCAGAGCTTTGAAAATATTAAATAATTAGGGCTCGAGTTTAGATCCGCTCAGGAAAATCGACAATTTGAAGCTGAACGCAAGAATAGTTTTTTGTTAAAGGATCGAAATTTAGTATTTAATCGGAAAAGTAGAATGAAAAAAAGCGGGTTAAATGAAATGCATTAAGATTTGTACTAAGCACAGGGCTGAACTCTGATTGACTAATCACATGTCTTTAATTAAATGTTCAATATTTTTAGCGCTTACGATCTAAATCGCCAAGAACAGCAGAAGTTTAAAGTTAACTATCCATGCATTAATGAGGAGAACATACTATCAAGTTTATGTCTACTAATCTATTAGGTTGGCAACTAAGTAATTGCCGATTTCAAATAAGAAGGCAAATTCGGAATTTTTGTTTAAAAATATAAATTTATTCAATTAGATATTGACCGTTCTTGTCGATGACCTTTTTCCATCGTTCTGGCAGAGTAAAAATTCTCCGTTCGTAAAATGTCTGGTCTTTGCTATTAAAAAACTGAATTTGGTGTGATCCGACATCATCCGCGTTGTTAAACATTTTACCATTTAACGAGTTTTGCATGGAACGAAACAAATGGTAATCCGAAGGCGCAAGGTCAGGGCTATATGTTGGGTGTGACAAAACATCCCAACCCAGTTCCAATAATTTTTGCCGAGTAACCAAAGATGTGTGGGGCCTTGAGTTATCATGATGGAAAACAACACCCTTCCGATTTGATAATGCCGGCCGCTTATCTTCAATTGCATCCTTCAGTTTTTCCAGTTGTTCAACATACAAATTTGAATTAATCGTTTGGTTCTGTGGCATGAGTTCAAAATACCAAATTCCTTTGTGATCCCACCACACTGACAGCATAATCTTTTTTTTGGTGAATCTCTGCTTTTCATACTGTTTGGGCTGGTTGATCTTGCTTCACCCATGATCTCTTGCGAGTAACATTGTTATAAACTATCCACTTTTCGTCGCCAGTAACTAGGTTCTTCAGAAATGGATCATTCTCATTGCGTTTCAGTAGCGGCGAATCACAGATGCTAATCCGTTGCGTCAAATGAATTTCCTTTAACTGGTGAGGGATCCATAAATTAAGTTTCTTGACATAACCAAGGGTTATAATTTGTTTTCAATGCATGTATGCGACACATTGAGCTTCTCTGCAATATCTCGTGTTGTGCTGTGACGATTTGAATCGTAATGGCCTTGATATGGGTTTCATCCACTTCGACTGGGCGGCCAGATCGTTGTGAATTTTTCAGTGAAAAATCACCGGAACGAAATCTTTCAAACCAATTTCGACACTGCCTTTCTTTTAAGGCTTCATCTCCATATACGGCACATAACTTCTTTTGTGCTTGCGATGCGTTCTTGTCTTTTCGGAAGTAATACAATAAAATGTGTCGGAAGTGCACGTCCTGTTCCTTCATTTTTAAATTGGGATAAAAACGAAACTAAAGAACTAAACAAAAAATTTTTACTAATTAACCTAGAAGCCCATACAGTAAGAAAAAATTATAGGTTAGATGCTCTGGCCACGTTAACAAAACAAAAGAAAGTATAGAGTGAATCTGTCAACAAAAACGGCAACGACTTAGTTGCCAACCCAATAGGTTAGAGATTGATTTAGGCTAAATTCTTTTGAAGTATGTCTTAATTAATTCAAACAGTTTTACACTCACTCCCCCCATTCTGTGTTCATATTAAACCTCTCTCTCTAGTCCGAATTAAATGTGTCACCAGGATTCTAATTATATTTGGCTTATCTGCGGTTTCCAATTTTACTAGCTTCTAATTAGACCTTAAAGTTGCCGGAGATAAAACCATCAAGCGCATCAGATCGGTGTACGACCGCGCACTGCTGAAATAGGAAGGAAGGTGTTCATTAATTCCGCTCTAAACAATAGTCGGTGATGATATTTGTGGAAAACCTCTAAAGCTTGTCGGAACAACTCGAGATCTTATATTAATAATATTATATAGACACTACAGGCAATAGAAAAAGAATTGGTCACGCAATCAATCTTCCACATTTCACTCTCGGATGCTTTATGGAATTATAATAGGCTTCATTAAAAGTACTTTTAAGAATATGACCCTCAGGAATATATATCAAACCTAATAATGTGAACATTCAATTAGTAGGATGTAATTAAGGAGGTTCTCCGTTGCCTCAAATTAATTGAAGGTGACTGCCTTCGCAAAATTTGGCTTTCAAAAAAAAAGCATTCATGTATTTATTCATTACGGAAGTTACTTATCAAGCATTTTTTGTATTGTTAAAAACATTAAAGACACGAAATTACCCCCCCCCCCCGCCCAATTTCTTGTATGTGCGCGCAATCATGCACAGCANGGGGGGGGGGGGGGGGGGGGGGGAAGGAGGCATTATTGTTTGTCTAATTAAATAAATTATTTGTAGAATGCACCAGTGCACACTGAATTACAGTGATTATAGCAATTGCAGGCTAGTAGCCAGAATAGGGTGATTAAGCGAGAACTTCTTAGCCGGATCAAAGTGAAAGGCATTAAAGCCTGCTATCTCCACACTACGCGCACCTGACAAGGTATGACGCAGCTTGACAGCATATATCGCCCACGCAAACTTTGTCCGTTTGACGTCTTTATTCTCACTGTCTCATTCGTGCTGCACTTTAGGCAGCTTCGGTGTTAGCCCCCTGATACCCTCATTCAAAGAGAAATAACCTCAGAGAACAAACACCCACACACGTGGATCGAACAAGCATGCCCTTGACACTGCACATAGAGAAAAGCTGGCACTATCGACTTGTTCCAATGCTAATATAGTTCTGATTAATAATAATTCCCGTGCCTATGTAAGAGAGTCTTTCCATTACCACCCATTTTAACAATAACTTTATAGAACTAGTCAATTAGTCATAGTGGAAGAAAAATAAGACTCGCTTAAATTATAAAGGCTACTATTTACAAATAGGTATACATTCACAATAACCAATTTACAAAACCTCGGAATTTAATTCAAAGGTGAGTTCAAGTTTGCGAAGGGACGCAGACGCATCGTCGAGCTCCCTTCGCACTTGAAGAAGACGTTTAACAAGACGATGTGGAATGACTCCAGAGAAAGATCCCAGCGCATTCCAATAGATACAGGGAGATTCTGAAGCGTTCACGTGCTGCTGTTGTTGGGCCTCACTGTCGTCTGAACACTCTAGCCATTGCAGAGCCTTATTGAGGACAAGAGATCTAAATTAAGAAAATAATTTACTTGTTTAAATACTCTCAGACATCGTAAAGGACTACGTTAACCACGGCGGCACTGAAATTATGCCAAAAAAGATTGGAGTATTTTAAATTGGAATTTAATCTAAGGAGGGATTAGTTTATGCGGAGGGCATGCAGGACTGACTGATAATTCAAAGGAAGCAATAAGTAAGAAGAAATACGTGAAATTCTAGAGCATTCAAGGCCAGTGTAGATTTAAGCAATGAAAGCATAAAACATATTCAATTTAAACATAAAACAAATGGGTGCCCCAATGCCAAAGACATGAAAGGAAAAGAAACAAGGCGAAATAAGCAAGCATGTTGCGAAAATTAGAGAATGGTTTGACAAACATACCACGAGTACAAGAGCTTAACGGGAAGGGGGGGGGAAGGAGACAGAAAAGTAGAAGTCCTTCCCAAGGCAGGGCAAAAAACCTTATAAATAGTCATTACATTGAGCTACTAAAAAAAACAGATAAAGTACGAATTCACAAGTATGTACACTTTAACAAGGGACTATTTAGACTGTAAAACTGATCTTAAGAAGACATCAGACCGATTTCCTCTATAAGTGGGGGGGGGGGGGGGGGCTTCTTCAGACCAAACACCTCTTTTTAAAAATGTGATTCCGGATTAAAGAAATGCTCGTAATTAATTCATGCAAATGACTGCCTTACCTAAATATGTGCTTTAGACTAATATCATAATACAACTCGAGTGCAATCAAAGAATGGACTAGCAAATCAGAGCGAAACAAAGCAACCAGACACGACTTATTTTCGAAAAAAAACTCAGTCCACATAAAAAAACTCGAAATTGGAGACAAAATCTACATTCGATATAAGAAAAAAATAAAATAGAAAAAACCTTTCCTGTCGAAAAACTCAAAGCGCATAAAAAGGCAGTAAAAATTACCAAACGAGCGACAACACAGAGACGAGATCATACTTTCTTCAATTCCAAGCAAATACACATACATATAACTGCAGAGATTACAAGGCTTCACATTTTTAACCGAATAACAATCACACAAAAGAGTTGGTAATCGGAAATCAGCAAAAGGCCGGCTGGCATTTGGCATACAAAATTAATCAGATTTTTACCAAAATAAGTGAAGTAAACTAACATTTCTTGTACGACGAGTTTAAATTCCTTCATTGTGGAAAGAGAGGCGGCATTTTTAGATTCCAATATTCCAATCTTCTCTTCAAAACTTTTCAAAAGGGTCTCATTCGAAATGGTTTCCGGACTGCCAGAAATATCAGATGAATCTAAGTGTTGTAATAGAGGAATGGATAGATTAAAAGCACTACATTGTGAAGTAGACAATTAAAAGACTTACCACATAGGACACTGATCAGAAGTTCCCTTAGTTCTGAGTCGATAACGTTTGAAAAATCTTTATTTTGGAGGGAATTTTCGGATTTTTGAAATCGAGATTTAATCTAATACAAGTTTAATAAAATCTTGTTACAGTAGACAGAAATAAAACTTTCAAGGAAACGCATGAATAAATTTAAGCTAGAAGACAAATATTAACTTTTAAGCGAAACGTAAATAAAAGATATACTTCAACAACTTGTATGCAAATATAAAGCAAAACACACCTCAATTGAAATTTGAAAATACTTTTTGAGAGCTGTATAGATCTTATCAAGACACTGAGCCATCTCAAGAAGAGCACTGTCTTCCAAAGCCATGATGTCCCTAAAGATTTCCAACTTCGAACAAGTTAGTTGGGCTTCCTGAATCTTCTGAAGGGAAAGCTCAAATATTACATAACTTACATACCCGATCCTGACAGTCAAGGTAAGCTGTCTGTCGAGCTTTTCGCCTTTCGAATCTTAATCGACTGCTTTTCAAATGATCACTGCATGCAAGATCTTTTACGAAATTTAAACAGTTCCCCTTAATTTGATTGCATTCAGCCATTAGGCTGGCTATATCTTCATTGATATCCGAACATTCATTCTTGGCTGTCAGAGGGTCTTCCAAGCATCTGTTAAGAAAATCGATTTCTGCCTTTAATCTGACTTCTTCACATCGAAGTTGTAAGGAAAGTGAATCAGATAATCTTTTAGCATTTGCAAGACGAGCGAATTCGGACTTTGTTGCCGTCTTGCTCTCATTAATGGATGAGACGAAAAGGCTTGACACGGTTGTATTATTACAAGTGTCAAGCTTCTAAATCAAAAAAATAATATGAGTCCATAACCCATAACAAAAAAGTGCTTTGATAAACGTACTTACAGAATGCTCATTATTACTCAAAAAGCCAAGCGCATTATTACTATGAAACAACTCATCACAAAATTGCGCACAAAGAAATTTGCCGTTATCCTCTTCCTTTTCTGTGAATTTACTTATCCCGGAATTGAGTGGAAATTGGTTAATAAAATTCTCACACATAAGCACATTTACACCAATCTAAAAAACTATTAACTTAAAATTATTAACCTTCTTTTCCAATAGACTACATCTTTCAAAATTTTCATGCATTTGCATCGAAAACAACTTCTCCAGAACCTGTTCAACATTCTTTGCCGTTGAGGACGGATTCATCTAAAACGATTCTTGAACACGCTACCTAACATCAGTGCGATAAAACATCTCCTTAATGAATACTTAGGATATCATGAAAAAACACTAAATTAAACAACTAATTTGATGTTTTAAAAAAATTATAACTTGAATTTCTATGACAAAGGTATTCTGGGTTAGTTCGAAATCTAATTTGAAACAATCAGACTAATTGTTCTATATTGATCACTGCTGGTTAATTTTGTTTATGATTTGATCTCTATCTCGTCCATATATTTACATATTTATAAGTCTAACTTTTGAATAAGCGTAAGTTTAGCGAAATCGTTTATTTTTGATCGGATCCACATGAAAGAGAGTTTCCCACATTTTTTGAAATTAATTGACACATTTTTATAGTTTTAATAGCAATGCGGTGAGTAAGGTCTATTAAACAATGGACATTGGTAAAGTGAGACAAACTTTCTCTCTGTTTTCGTTATATATACATCTTATTTTACGACTGCCCAGGCTTAATTTCTATCCCAAGACTGCCATTCAATTGAAAAGTATATATCTAAGTCATTTACTTTCCTCTTTGACAGTAATGGACCGAATATACGTACGCATGCATATATCATGCAAATAGAACGTCATTATGCAAAGTTCGAAATTAATTATTTAATATAGTTAAATACATAATTTTCATTAAATTTGCCATAATCCATCCTTGAGGTATGATTGGCTAATGATAAAAGTAAGCGCAGAATTAGCCTTTGCTAATTAAGTATTCATTTACACGCGCCTAGCATATTCTCGCTTCTAGCCTGTGGAGTCACTCTCTATGGACGCAGTTTATGAGGATTTTATGGAATGTTTACACTTACCACTCCACTTTCTCGTAAGATAATTTCCACCTTGAACTGTACTCTATTTGCTCCGAAGAGTCAATTTTATTTCCATTTCGATTCATTTGTATTTTACAAGCATTTTATTTATTCTTTCATAATGGCAAGCGATCTTGACAATAGTTTAAGCGTGGTTCGCAAAACCACTCCATGTTTACCAAGTTCTGCAATGTTTCCAATGTTAACTAGTCCTGTACAGGGTGATGTTATTAATCGTTCCGGGACAGACCACTGCGAAGGCATCGGTCTCAAAAAATCTAACAAATCCCGATCTCACAAAACCTCAAGTGATATTCGTGGGGGATTACATCGTCTTCATTGTCTTGCTTGTGGTTGTGTTTCGAGATATCGCGAAGAACCTTTAGATATTTCACTTCCCTCAAAAGGTGATGGGTCTCTTCCTGAAAAAAATCTTTCTGCTATTGCTCCGGCCGAACAGCATACCGAATCATTGAATAATAACATTTCACTCGAAAGTTTGCCTAATGAGAATCTTACCGAGATTTCAAATTCTAAAGATGAGGAGAATCGTCGCACCCCATTTTCTCGAATACGCACTTACTTTTCCAAGCGTCGACGAAAACTCGATTTGCCCATTTCTGATGGTGAAGTTACGCCGGCAAATTCCTCAAACAAAGAAAATTCTAATCCCACCCAACCCTCCCCTAACCCGGAAAATGATTTGAAGGAACTGGTATGGAACTGCTTTTAAGTATTTTTTTATTGATCTTTATCGATTTATCCGGACTGATTTTCCTTCCAGCGTCAAAATTTGCTCGGCTTGCAGAAAGAATCTGACAAAGGAAAGAAGTGTTTTATTATTGATCTTGATGAAACACTTGTTCATAGTTCCTTCAAGGTAAACAATGCAATCAATTAAATGTTTTCCTTAATTTTTTGCTTTGTTTATCAATCTATTTTCCTCCATATTTTGAAATCAAAAACTTTTTTAGGCATTTAAAACACCTCTGGAGACATGTTTTTTGATTACTTTTAATAAATGCTTCTTAATAGATGGTTTGAGCGACCTTTTCTTCATATATTAAATTTTATTTTTACCGCTTTGATTGGTAAGAGTTCGAGTCTCAAGGTTGGTGTTTATATTTATCCTTATTCAGCATTTGTTCATGCTGAATAATTTTCCTAAAATCAAGTCAAGCTTTTACATTTTGTGAGCAATGATTAATTGATATCATCATTGTGTCTATGCTGAAGATCTCATTTTTTGACACTCTATCAGTTGATCTAAAACAGGTCATTCCGTTTACTCTAGGTGTGTGCATCGATGGACCATCTTAACTGTTAATTAACTAGATGTATTATTTGACATTGTAACTTTCACTTAGTGTGTGTGTGTGATGAACTTATTTTTCACTACTTTCTAGTTGTACTAAATCGTTTTGGTATTATTTCATTTGCACCATTCTTAAAAACTGACGCTGTCTGAAATTTACAAAAAAAGTGCTTCGTCTCTAGGACTAACTCTTTTCAGCTCATTGGCCGCAATTGCCCTCGTATTTCACATTTACTTTCCTTTAGGCTGTCGACAAGGCGGACTTTAAGGTAGGCGTGGAGATCGACAATGTGGTCCACCAGGTCTTCGTCCTCAAACGGCCGCATGTTGATGAATTCCTCCGGGCAATGTCTGACATCTATGAGTGTGTCCTCTTCACTGCAAGTCTTTCCAAAGTGCGTGCACACTCCTTTTGCCCTATATTATTATTAGTTATTACTTATTAAACGAGGCTTTGATTGGAGTTTTCTTTCTTTTATTCCACGTAAGCCTTCATTTAAATCTACTTTACCATTTAAAACCTGATTTTGTTTCTTAACTCGAATGCTTTTTATTGTTGATCGTTTACCCCCCCCCCTACTTTTATTTTCCCATTTTTTTGTAAACGTACCTTTAATTTTTAAGTGATTTTACACCACATTGAAGCTTAGTTGGTTCTCATTTTTACAAACCAGAGATGTAATTTTCTATTCTGACGAGAGTAGGATCAGTTTCTGCTCCGGTTATGAAGTTAACTGTTTATCAGATTCTTGCATTGGGCTTTACTGTTTTTCATTTACGTGTTAATGCTTATACTTACTTATTAGGCATTAAGGATTTTTATTATAGGTATTAATGTCTCTATTATTAGAGGATTGGTGATTGTTAGTACTGTTAACGCAATGATGCTAAATCAGCATTTCGGTATCCATTAAGTGCAATGGACGACGTAGTCAGCCAATAGTGCTAAGTATAGCCGACGGAAATCAAGTTTCTCTCGAGATGATGCTCCATAATTCTACTCCTCCAGCCAAGACGAGAGTTCGAAAAAAAATTCTAAATGGGCTTGAGGGGCTTATCGAATTCTTGAAGTGGGGAATAGGTAAATACGGTTTTTTTTCTACATCTTTAATCCGGTTTAGCAAATATAAATGCAAATTAGATATGAAGTGGAGGACAGCTGGTTGTGTGTGGTCATGCTCTTCCTAGGAATTGTGCAGTTGATTACTCCTATAATCTTGTGCGATAGACTTACCTCCACGTGGTGCACCCTGGGCAACGTATACTCATACGGCAAAAAAGTCTATTAATCGGCAGTTGACGTCTCACTTCAAGCTACCATGACTCCACTGTATGTCATATTTGACTACTTTCGCAGTACTCACCTCACCTTTTTCTACCTTTTCTACCATCGTCTTTGAAACACTCGTCTGTCCCACCCCCTCTCTCGACTTTTTCACTTTCTCTGTGAAGCCTATAAAGGGCTAATGATAACTATCAAAACGCCTGTCATTTGATATAAATAAATAAATAATCTTGTATGCCTTTTTTGAATAGTTGACTACTCCAAATCTTGTTGGCTTTTTGTTAATTCGATCGTTTCAATCAATACTCTCGATTGTTTTTTTTTCTAAATAAAATTCATAATTTCTATTACTTTGAACTAGACTTTAGTTGTAGAACTTATTTAGACTGTATTTGTTGTTTTAAATCCCCCTCTCCGAAGATATGGCAAATGTTTCCTTGAATCACGTTCCTTCCCAGAAGTATATTCTCTTTTTTTTCTATCCGCTTGGGAAACTCACATGCCTCTTTCACCTTAAGCCCTGTATTCCTCATTTCATAACATTCGAAAGTGGTAAATTTCTAATCATGTTATGTGCAAACATGCTAGAATGAAAAAAGGACTCTTATTGGTTTATTTCTTATCACGCTTTAAGTAGTAACAAACTATTAAGTAAACGGAGAGTTTCGCGTACTTATCCTACCTATGTTCCAATGGTTGGTTGCTGGACTATCGTATCAATTGAATTTTTAGGGTGGTGTTGAAGATCGACATTCAGGTGATTAAACTAAATCGGAAATTGCATTCCACTACCTCCATACTACACTCAAACATCCAATAGAATAATACGTTGGGTCCAGATCACGTCTTACCATGCTGTTTCATTTATGCGGTTTGGGTTGACACCGAGATGCTCTAGTCAATAAGTGAAATATATCAAATGTATTCTATCATGTGATCA